GGGAAACACACCCGGGCGAGCTTTCAGAAGACTGCCAAGTACCGAGCCAAGGGAGCATTGGAGACAGTCCATACGGACATTTGTGGGCCGATCACGCCATCATCTTTCAGTGGGCGAAGGTACTTTATCACCTTTATTGATGACTACACCAGGAAGACTTGAGTATATTTTCTAAAAGAAAAATCGGAGGCCTTTAAAACATTCAAAAATTTCAAAGCCGAGGTGGAGAAGACAATCGGGCTGAAGGTGAAAGCGTTGAGGTCAGACCGGGGGGGGGGAGAATACATTTCAGACTCTTTTACAAAGTTTTGTGAAGAGGAAGGAATTAGAAGATTCCTTACCGCCCCGTACTCGCCTCAACAGAACGGGGTGGCTGAGCGAAAAAAACGGAGCATTATGGACATGGTAAGATCCATGCTCAAGAGCAAAAATATGCCAAAGCAATTTTGGGCCGAGGCGGTACGATGTGCGGTGTATGTACAGAACAGGTGTCCGCACTCAAATCTTGAAAATCTAACACCTCAAGAAGCATGGAGTGGTCAAAAGCCGACCGTGTCACACTTGAGAGTGTTTGGGAGTATCTCTTACGCACATGTGCCCGATCAGAGACGGACAAAATTGGAAGACAAAAGCAAGAAGCTTGTCTTCATTGGCTATGATGAGAAGACAAAGGGATACAGACTATATGATCCCGAGGAGAAAAAGATCACAGTGAGCAGAGATGTAGAGATAAATGAAAAAGGAAGCTGGGATTGGAACACATAGAAGGAGTACGTCCCGGACGGGACCTCAAATAACGAGGACGTCCCGGACGGGACCTCAAATGACGAAGAGACCCCGAGCGGGACCCCAATTCCAATCCCGCTCGGGATGACACCAGAACCAATCGGGGCGGGATCTATGACGACCCCGGGGGACGAGGAAGAAGAAGAAGGGACGAGCCGGCAAAGGTACAGAAACATACAGGACATATATGAAGCAGCTCCAGAGGTTCACATGGTATGTCTTCTAGCCGATGGGGAGGATATTACTTTTGAAGAAGCCAAGCACGATGAAAAATGGAGAGATGCCATGAACGAAGAAATAAAAGCGATTGAGAAGAATCAGACCTGGGAACTTACCAATCTCCCGAGAGGTCATAAGCCGATCGGAGTCAAATGGGTGTATAAGAAGAAATGCAATGCTGAAGGTATGGTCGAGCGATACAAAGCTCGGCTTGTTGCAAAAGGTTACAAGCAAAAGGCTCGGAATGAGAGACCGAAGAGAATTAAGATTAGGGGAGGAATTTGTTGGGATTAATTAATTAATCTTAATTATTTTACTTCCTAGGGAACATAAATTATCTTTCCCTACTTTTATTGGAAAGATGAAAGGTCTTCTTGGAAAGGTAAATTGTATTTTCTAGGGAATATTTTACTCCACTTGTAATGCCTATATAAGGCCACCAATTGTAATGTTTTATCAAGTGGAATATAATACATTCTCCTCCATTTCTTTGAGTTGTAAGTTAGCCAAACACTTAGAATATTTTCGGATATTTGGGGCCTTCATTAAAACGGTAAAGATGCAATTTTTTCATGGATACAGACAGGAAGTGCTATTTGTTAAAACAATCCTTTTAAACTCACCTGCCCTTGAGGAACTTGTTATTACGAAAGCATCCCACTTCAAGGCTTTGGAAACCCTAGAGGAAGTTATGAGCTTCTCTCGTACTTCCCCAAAAGCCCAAGTTGTCTTCATGGAGGAAAAGTATGTGTCCACAAGTCAGAGGGTCTTCCATGCATTTGTTGCATATTCTCCAATGGGTTCGCTTTTGTGTTATGAACTTGTTTTGCTAGAAGTTCAGAAAGTATTTTTAGTGGTTGGTATGAACTTTACTAGGTGCATTACCTTTTAGAGTTCTATTTGCTATTTGATGTCTAAAGTTCACTACATTTTGCTCTAACATGCGTAATTCTTAGATCAAGTAATAAATTGTTATTTGATCTTTGGATTTTACAAGTTTTTCATATTTAAAGTCTCCAAAATAAATATCAATGGGAGAATTTTATCAAGATCATGAAGACTCAATTATACTGCTAACTAGAAACAGACTCCATTAATTCCATCTAATTGTTGGTGTATCATTAGACCAACTCCTATCTGGCCATGAATCAATGAACTATTGAACAACTCAAAGCATGTCAATGTACTCTTAAATAAACCAAACAACCAGAGAAAGACAGAGTTCCTCACACTGACTGAGCATAATAAAATGCTTAAGACTGCTAAGAGTATCGTGCTTGTTGATATAGAAGAGGAAAAAAATTTCTCTTTGCGTATACCGACTTTAAGTAAATAAGTAATGATATACTGCCTAATGCGAAGTATATAATTTACCTACTGTGTATACCCGCAAATTATACCGTGGGATCGGCCCACCTTCCGCATGGTGTGCCGATCCCATCATTAGGCTTTGATTTCTTTTTCCGTTGTTTTCACGTTCATTCACACTTCCTAGCCAAACTTTTTTGTTTATTTTTAATTCAACTTCTTTGCTGAATATTCCAACCACTAGTTACTTTGATCTCCTTTTGACCTTTTCTTTTTCCTATTACCATATAAATTACGTAGTATGATTCACCATATAAAGATTTTTTTTTCTTGCTCCTTAAAGGAATAGGTTAGTAAAATTAAATTCTGAAAGTGTCAATATTAGTATCAAAAAGTTTATCAATCTAAATAAAATAAGTATATTGCATTTCATATTTATACACTATATTTGTTTCTGTAGTATTTTTGTATTCATATACTTTTTTTGTAATATATTTTTTACATTCATGCACTTTTTTGTAATATTTTTTATAAGCACACACTTTTTCTATAATATTTTTTTATCACTTTTAATTGTTTTTAGAGGTTTTTAAGATATTGAATTTGTTTATTTTGATTCTAGCTTGGAGTTACATTTGATAATATACGAAGTTACATCATCTTATACTCTAGTTACAAGTTATTATGCGTGAGTTGCATCTTGTTATGTGTGAGTTACATCTTCTTATACGTGAGTTACATACTTTTATGCGCGAGTTACATGTAATTATGTGTGAGTTATATCTAATTATGTGTGATTTTTTACTTATATTTATCTTGAACTAATTAAATTATAACTGAATTAATTTTTTTGAAAGAACTGAATTAATTTTTTCCTTTACCAATTTAATACAAAATTTTATTAATCCACATAAAATAAGTATATTGTATTTCATATTCATACACTATTTCTTACTTTGTATACTTTTTTTATATTTATTATACACTTTTTTTGTAAAATATTTTTAATATTCATATACTTTTTTCTATAATATATTTCTCATTTCTTTTATATGTTCCCTACTAAAAAACTCGCTCTTTGTCACGGATTTTTGTCACGGATTACGGTCGTGACAAAGTTGTCACGGACTTTGTCACGGAATATTGGGATTTGTCACGAAAATGTGTTGTCACGGATAGGCCCGTGAAAAAATCCGTGACAAAATATTGTCACGGATTTGGTCCGTGACAAATTTACTCCGGCGACCGGTTTTTTACTCCGGTGAATACTTTTTTTGCTCCCGGGCATTTGTCACGGACAGATCCGTGACAAATCCGTGACAAATTTCAAAAACACTTTGTCACGGATGGATCCGTGACAAAATCCGTGACAAACTTCAATTATTGATTTTCCAGTGGTAACCTTTAAAAATACAGTACGAAAAAAGGGTTGTCACGGATAAATCCGTGACAAATATTTTTATATAACCCAACCCCATCGTCCATTACAATTGCAAGAACAACAATTATCAGTTCAAAAATTCGTAGATTCGAGTGATGTAGTATCGGTTTAAAGATTGAATGATGTAATCCGTCAGTTCATCATTTTCCCAGTTTATGCAGATAAGGTATGTCATTTTAACTAATTTCTTTTAATTGTGTAATAAATTAATTATTAGCTTAATTAATTAGTGAGGTTAGTTGTTCATTTATTTAAACTATTAACGTAATTTAGTGAGGTCATGTTAATTTTCATATTATTAACAATTTATTATTAAACTATTAACGTAATTTAATTAGTTAAATTTAAATATAAATATTAATTAGTTAATTGAAATGAGTTTATATCACCAATGATTAGGGCGGTTTGTTTATTAGCAATTATTGTTATTAATGCATAATTTAGGATGTGTAGTGATTTAAGTATTAGCTAGCTTATTATAGATTAATTAATTAGTGACTTGTAGTGATTTAATTAAGTTAGCTAGCTTATTAGGTTATTATCACCAATTATTGTTTATTAGCAATTATTGTTAATGGGATGCATAATATAGCTAGGATTGAAACTTTATTATTATTTAGTTTAGTGTGAATTATTATTGTGAATTATTAATGAGATAATATTTAACAATAATATTAGTTAAATGTAAATTAATTAAGTAATTAATTAAGTTAAAACATTGAGGAAATGGGTTTAGAATTTGAGTTGATAATATTAGTTAGATTTAAATATTAGTTAATTGAAATGGGTTTCTAACCAATGATGATGATTAGGTTTAATTTGTTTATTAGTTAATTATTGTTAATGCATAATTTAGGATTTGTAGTGATTTAAGTTAGGATTCAAACTTTATTAGTTAAGTGTGAATTATATATTATTGTGAATTATCGATATTTAACAATATTAGTTAAATGGAAATTAACTAATTAATAAGTTAAATTAGTTAACTTTAGTATTGTGAATAAATGCCATTAACGTAACGTAATAACTTTAATTAGTATTATATGTTAGTTAATTATTTAATGTGTACTATTAGATTTTCATAATTTTAGTATTGTGAATAAATGTCGTTAACGTAATAATTTAGTGTGTTTGGTGCACAAATTCTAATATTGTGAATTAGCTAATAATTAAAACGATTAATGTCATTAACATATTACTATTAGTTAATTAGTAATTTTAATTGAACGTTAGTTAATTTTAGTGAACTTTATATTAGTAAATTATTAATTCCGGCCAGCTTAATGTTTCTAAATAATATTTTAGTGGGCGTTTCTACATGATTGAAAAGTTGGTTAATTCAAATTATTAATGCCACAAATAATGTACTGCTTTTAGTTGATTAATAATATTAATGTACTTATATAATATTTTGATTATAATATATATACAGGCATAATGTATAGACAAAACAGAAGTTGGATGTACCAAAAACATCGCGATAACTATGGAATACGCAGTGAATTTTTTAATGGTGTTGAAGATTTTATTAAATTTGCACAAGAACAGAAGAATTATATGGATGGCGATAAAATCAGATGTCCATGTACAAAGTGTAAAAATCTTCAATTTAAAGATGTCGACCAAGTTGTGTGGGATTTGTACGAAAAAGGTTTCGTTGCCAATTATTATAATTGGACTTCTCATGGCGAACCTTTCGATCCATCACTTTTACCACAAACAGTAGATTCATCTCGTAACGTCCCTACTAAGATGAGTGGATGGGGAGACTATGATCAAATGACGTGGGATCAAAGAATGGCATATGATGTATATGGTGCTTCAACTATTCAGTTTAACCCACCACAGCCATTTAACGATCTTCCCGAAGCTTCGACCTCGTATCAACCCGATGCGGATGAAGATCCGACCTTTTATCAGCCTGATGCGGATGAGTATCCGAATTCTCATGTTCCTCATATTGAAGACTTAGCTGAAAGATTTCAAGATGTTTTAAAAGCTGCCGATCAGCCTCTGTATGCTGATTGTGAGGGATACTCTCAGCTATCCGCCGTTACAGAGTTGATGAACATTAAATCTGAATACAGTCTTCCTGAATCTTGCATGTCTAGGTTATTGCAGTCATTTGGAGGAATGTTACCGCGTGACCATAATCTTCCTGATTCATATTACAAAATGAAACAATTAATGTCTCAGTTGGGGCTTCCTTGTATAGAAATTGATGCATGCCCAGAAGGATGTATGTTGTTCTGGAAGGATGATATGGCACTTGAGAGCTGCAAGTTCTGTGGTGGAGAGAGATACAAGCCTGTTCCTCATAGACGAAAAAACCACGAAAAAGGTCTGTATTGTCTAAATTGTTTTACCTCCCTCTAGCTCCACGCCTGAAGAGGATGTATGCTTCAAATGCTACTGCGAAACACATGACGTGGCATGTTGAGCACGAAACCAAAGAGTGTTTGATGTCTCACCCTTCCGACTGTGAAGCTTGGAGACACTTTGACCGTTGTCATCCTCAGTTTGCAATGGAGCCACAGAATGTGCGACTAGGATTGTGTTCAGACGGATTTGCTGCTTTTGAAAAGTTTGGGAAGAAATTTTCATGTTGGCCAGTCATGCTAACTCCTTATAATCTTCCTCCCGACATGTGCATGAAAAGTCATTTCATCTTTTTAACTTTAATTTGTCCAGGTCCCTCGGATCCTAAAAAAAGGATAGACATCTATCTCCAACCCCTGATCGAGGAGATGAAAGAACTTTGGGCCATTGGAACACCAACTTATGATGTTTCAAGAGATCAAATGTTTATCATGAAAGCTGCCATCATTTGGACCATTAGCGACTTCCCTGCTTATGGTATGCTTTCAGGATGGAGCACACACGGTCTTATGGGATGTCCGATATGTATGGAGAAATCAGATGCCAATTGGCTCAAATTTAGCGGGAAACCAAGTTACTTTGATTGTCACCGCAAGTTTCTGCCTATGAACCATCGATATCGAAAGGACAAGAAGTCTTTTATTGCCAGAAGAGTGGTACGAGATCCCCCTCCTCCAAGACTTACAGGTGAACAAGTTTTTAACCGGGTTCGACGTTTTTCTACGGCCGTGCAGCAACCCTACGGGGTGCCAAATGGGTATTGTGATACCCATAAGTGGACAAAGAGGAGTATATTTTGGGAGTTGCCGTATTGGAAAGACCTTCTCATTCGTAACAATTTAGATGTCATGCACGTTGAGAAGAACGTTTTTGACAATATATTTAACACGGTTATGGATTTTACCCACAAAACCAAAGATGGTCTTGCATCTAGAAAAGACATGACAATTTGGTGCGACAGACCCGAACTCGACGTCGATCTAGAATATGTGGGTAAAAAAATTCCAAGAGCAGTCTACCAACTCACAGCCCCACAAAGGGAATCAATATTAGAGTGACTTGTTTCTCTAAACTTTCCAGATGGCTATTGTTCTAACTTGTCAAGATGCGTGGACCTGGACAAACAAACAATGACGTCGAGCATGAAAACTCATGATGCTCATGTAATCATGCAACGACTTCTGCCGATTGCACTGAAAGAGATGCTTCCTGCAGACGTCTGGGGCTGTATTACCGAAATCAGTCAAATGTTTCAGTCGATATGTTCCACCGTTTTGGATGCCGAATCCCTGAGGAGACTAGAAGACACTGTTCCTATTCTGATGTGTAATCTGGAAAAGATATTGCCCCCATCATTTTTTTATGTAATGGAACATCTTCTAATACATCTTCCGTATGACGCTTTGAATGGAGGGCCCGTCTTCTATCGTTGGATGTACAGATTTGAAAGGTTAGTCATAATTTCATTTATAAACGATGATTTGTTTAATAAGAACATTTGTTTGTTTACAAATTTTATTTTGCATGACAGAATTGTGGGAGATTTGAAAAAGAAAGCGACCAACAAGGCACACATTGAGGCTTCAATTTGTCAAGCATATATTCAACAAGAAACCTCAACGTTTTCATCTTTTTATTTTGAGCGTGAAGTCATCAGGAAAAGAAAGAGACCTGCTCGGAACGATGACATTGGCAAGGATTCATATGATAAAGTAGTTTCTATTTTCAACTACCCAGGTAGAGGTAAAGGAGCTGCGACTTACCGTTACATCGTGGGCGGGGAAATGAAAATTGCACATACTTACATCCTCATGAATTGTCCAGAAATCTTACCATTTTATAAGTAAGTTGAATTGGTAGTTACATTTGTAATATAGCTAATATTTTTTAATAATTAGAGTGTTATAATAATATCTTTATGTTTCAATTCACAGTGAATTTAGAGCGTCTTTATTAGCATTTCCTGATGATGCAATTGATGCAATGGTGGACTCTGACTTTGCATTATGGTACCAACAGCAGGTATATATATATATAAATACATTATATATACTATTAGCTAATAATTTTTAATCATTACCTAATGTTATCATGTTTTAATTTGCAGATCAGGTACCGTGGGATTAACGACCCTCTGTTAGTATCATTATCGTGGGGCCCTTCTTCCTATGCAAAGGTTTGGCATTCATATGTGATAAACGGTTATACGTATCACACAGTCGAATATAGAGAAGGTCGACCAACAATGAACAGCGGGTTATGTGTCCCGACCATCGGTTCTGATATCTCGGAAACCATTTTTTTTGGTTTCTTGCATGAGATTCTCGAACTTCAAATGCCTTCTGGTTTGCAAGAATTAACATGCGTGTTGTTTCACTGCACATGGGTCAACCCTACACGTGGTGTGAAAAAAAATTCAAAGTATAATATAATTGACGTCAACCACTCTCGTGTGTATCAGAAAAATGAGCCTTTTATACTCGCTCAACAAGCAGCCCAGGTTTATTATGCAGAGTATCCTTCAACGAGGCGCACACGGAATCCTTGGGTGTGTGCCATTAATATCCGTCCGAGCAAAATTGTAACACAGGCTCAACACAAGGATATTGACTTTGATGCTTTTCAGCAAGATTTTTTCCAACCTCCGCCTATTGCTGACACGGTCAACCATAACATTCAGTTAAGTGAGCCAAATGGCGGAGATGTTGAAGTTATGCCTGAAACACACCTTCCGCCCCCTATACCTCAAAATGAGCGCGAAATTGAAGAATTATATATACAACAACTGCACGATGACCAGGAGGAAGAAGAAGAATGGATATATGATGATGAAGATACAGAAGAAGAAGTTGGCTATCAAGAAAATACTGATTCTGATAGCGATTAAATGTATAGTTAACAACCAATGTAATTACTTTTAATTGAACTATTTTAATTTGAATTTTTAACTTTCTTTCGTCATTATTATATTATTCCAAGATAGTTAGGTATGTAATTCGCAACTATAATTTCTAAACAAAATAGTTATTCCATATTATATTGTAAAATAGCAATTAATTAATTAATAAAATTAAGTTTTTAAAATTATTCAATCGAAAATTAGTGGTTCATTATTATCAATTCGGAAATTTAAAATTAATTAGGTAATTTCGAAAATTGAAAATTATTTAAATTTTAAATAATTCGAAATTTAACATTATTTAAAATTCGGAAATTAGTTTTTTAACATTATTTGTTATTAGTTTTTTAACATTACAAAATTTTAATAATTCGAAATTTAATAAACAAGAACATGAATTTATTTATTAAATTTAAAAACTAAGTAGAAAACACACAATTTTTTATCATTTATTACATTCAACAACTCACAATACAGATAAACAAATAAACACAATATTATTCATTAGCGTCAAAGCTTTCATCTAGAGGTCTATCAAGTAGCTCGTTAATTCTTTCTGCAGCTTGCGCGTTTATAGGTATCATATACTCCGAATATTGTTCTGCACGTAAAAGTGCCCTACACAAGTTTTTCCCTTGTGAAACGTTGTATGAGTCTGATTCATAGTCTACAATATCGCCAAAGCTTTCAAGCGGTCTACTCATCAGCTCACGGATGCTTTGAACTGCTTCTGCATTTCGAGGCTTCATCAACTGTGTAACTTGTTTTAATCGTTGTACACTTCTACTGATCAACTTCCACACATTTGGTTCTGGATTAGCCATTTTTTCGCACTGAAAAAATGGGACTCTAAGCACATATTTATACTTAAATTTGTCACGGATAGGTCCGTGACAATTAAAGTAGCTGACGCCTCGTCTTAAAAAGGCTGAAAAGCTTTAATATTCCCTGCACCGGTTTGTCACGGATCCATCCGTGACAAATCCGTGACAAAATTCAAAATTTTGAATTTTGTCACGGATTTGTCACGGATGGATCCGTGACAAACCGGTCAACCTGCCGTTCTGCTACCTCGTCTGCCGTTCCCTGCCGCCTCGACTGTCGTCCCGCAGTTTTCAATTTCCGATGATTTTGTCAAGATTAATCCGTGACAAATTCAAAATTCAAAATTCGTAACTACGTTGTCACGGGCGTTGTCACGGATGGGTCTGTGACAACCCCTAATATATAAAGAACACTTTGCCATTTGTTTCCTTACGCTGCCAATTCAATTCAGCAAACCCTAACTCTCTCCCCTCCCAAACGCACTTCTGCCTCTCTTACACCCGCCGACCGCCACCCTCTCAAACGCACTTCTGCCTCTATTACACCCGCCGACCGCCACCCCTTACTGCCTTCTCTTACACCCGCCGACCGCCGCCGCACACATCTCACCCTCTCAAACGTCCTTCGAATTCGGCCTTCACTCCTTTCCCTTTCTTGCCTTCTTCTCCTTCATTGAGGTTATGTTTCTAACTCTTTAATTTCCGAATATTTTATAATAAATGTTTTAAAATGCCAAAAATAAAATGCATGTTTTTCTTAATATTGTTTATGTTGGTCCCGGTTATACTGGATACAGTCTAGAGGGGGGGTGAATAGACTGTATTGGTTTTTAGCTTTTTAAACTAAGTACCAGATTTACAGAATAGCCTGTTCTGTTGACAGAACAGACTGGCAGCGGATGGGGTTCTGGTAGGGAGTTCTGTTGATTTAGCCTCAGAGAAGCAAAGGCAGTAGGCCTTCTGTTAACTCGTAGGACAAGTTCTGCTGAACACAGATACCAAGTCTGAGGAGTTAGACAGTTCTATCTAAGTGCAAATATTAAAGCAGTAAGTAAACGACACCAGGGATTTTTATAGTGGTTCAAGGAACAACTTGTTCCTCTAGTCCACTGTTCCACTAAGCTGTAAAAACTTCCGTTTACAAAGCCTTAATCCTAGCACTTAAGAAGCACTCCACGTCTTCTTCAAGCCTAGATGTCTCCTGGGATGCACTGCCTGGCTTCCTTTAAGACTGGTCCTTTCACTGAGCTTCCTGGAAGTATCACCACTTCACTACTCCAGTTACTTGGACGTCCTTCTTGTAGCAAGAAGAGTTTCTGTTGAAACAGGGGTTCCTCCAACTAGCTTCGTTAAAAAAGATTTGTATGTGATGAGCTTGAAGAGTTGAAGAACACTTGGAACTTTGCTTGAGTTGGAAAAAGTATTTTTTCAACTTCTGCCTTCTCTTGTAGAAGATAATGAGTTTGAATCTCAAGGAGGCTTTTTGCTTTTCAGAGTTTGAATATCTTGTATGAAGAGTTGTAGCAATGGTTAGCAAAAGTTGCAAAGTTATCCGGTTGTTCTTCGTAGTGTATCTTTTATACTGAGGTTGTCTTCCCGTTGGAGGAGTAGGAGGACAACTGCATTAAATGAGCGATCAGTTGACTTGACTAGTAGAGCCCGGTAAAGTTGGCGGGTTACTATTTTGGGATAAAGTATTCCTGACATTGCGGCCAATCATCTGCAATTACTCTACGTAGCATGGGGTGCATTAAATGAGCATTTAATGCGCGCACTGTAGCTTTTCCGTTTCATACTCCTAGCCGTTGAAGGAATCTTTTAGTTGACTTCCCGGTTCTGTGAAATTCTTCTAAGTGTCAGACCTTCTGGTGTCTTTAACTGAGAGTAGAGCAGAGGAGGTCTGGAGCACTTCTGTTGAGAGTATATCCAATAGAGACCCAGAAGGGTTTCTGTCAGAGTAAAGACTAACAGAGACCCTGAGGTCTTCTGTTCTGGAGCAGAGAACCAAAGGTCCTCTGTTTCAATAAAGCCTTACGAGGGTCTTCTGCTCTTGGAGCCCTTCTGCTCAGAAGGTCTTCTGCTCTGAAGGCATTCTGCCAAGTCGATTACTCTAAGAACTTTACAAATGAAAATTCTAATACATTAAGTCTAAATAGGGGTATTCTAAAGTCCTAATTAAACTAGCATCATCAAAATCTAAATACAAATATTCCTTACAATTTCCCCTTTTTTGATGATGCCAAAACCCTTTAACTATTTCCAGAGAAGTGCCTTCACCATAAAGAAAGATTAAAGTTTAAAAACTTCCATTAAAATCTTGGTGGGCAGCTTGGCATAGGAAAATAGTAAGAGTACAGTACATCCAGATAGCAGAATATAAATGAAATAAGCAAACACAAGCAGAAGGCAAAAAGACAAGAAATTGAGGAAAAGCACTTCAAAGTAAGAAGGCAGAGATGTGATTTTATTAGATAAGTTTTACAGAGTTAAACCTTACACATTCTCCAGATTAGCTGCCTGTAGAGCTTCTTCCTCCAGTCTTTGAAGCCTGAGCAGTTCTTCATTTATTTCAGCTCTGATCTTGAAGAGGTTGCCAGAGCTTTGGTAAGATGCCCAAATGGGAGAAAGCTTGCAGTCAAGATAGCTGAGAACACCTTCCTGTATAGTCTTGTCTGGGACAATGTTCTTCTTATACCATTCTTCAGCTTCTTCCAAGGATCCCCCATACCTAACTCTCACAACACCATCTTTGTCCAAATAGAGGTGTTGTTGTTGGGTAGGAGTCATTTTGGCCTTCATCTCTTCAAATTGGGCTCTGTCAATTTTCTGAGATCCACCCAATCTCCATTCAGTGAAGTTAAAAACTTTCTTCTTCTTGGTGCCTTTCTTTACCGGAGATGGGGGTCTAGGTATGCCTGCTGCTCTCTTCTTCTGTAGAGCAGCTTCAAAGTAGGGAGCCGGATCTACTGCAGGCTCAGCAGAGGAGGGTGCCCTAGAGGGAGTTCTGTGGGACCTAGGCCTGGTCTGTTGAGGGTCCTCTTCCCCCTTTTTGGCATCATTCAGATCTTCTATCATAAGACTTATCTTCTGGAATTCTGAGGCCTGAGTGGAGGCTATCTGCTCTAGGGCCTCTGGTAGAGTCTGGGTGACAGAGGTAAGGCCTTCAATGAGACCTTGCTGCTTCTGAATGGCAGAGAAGATGTCCTTGTTATTGGCTTCAAGGAGCACCATCTTCTGATAACGGTCTCTGTCAGTAGATAGGAGAGCTTGAGCTTGTTCTTGGTGAGCTCTGCACATTTCTCCAATGGAGGTCAGTTGCCTTTCTGTTCTGGAATCAGATTTCTTCAGAGCTTCAAGGTTCTCTGAGATAGAGTTGATTGCCTGTCCTTGACTCAGGAGAGTCTGTTGAAAGAGAGAGAGTGTTTGGTGGATACCTACCACTTCTGTTGACAGGGTATCTGTTCTGGCAGAGGAGGAGGCAATGAAGTTGTTGAGTGTCCCTGTGAGGTTCTCAAAACGGTCAGATATGAACTGCATACCTGAGTTTAGATTGTCATTCACATGAGCAAGATGCCCGTAGTGTTTGTCATTGATCTCTATCAGTTTGTTCATGCCTTGGAGGATCTGTCCACCAAAGTCTTCTGCAGATTCAACAAATCTGTTGAAGGGGATGTTATTCTGTTGTCCATCAGCTTGAGGCATCTCTAGACCTCTTCCCTTAGGCAAGGGGTGATGTTCTTGGACAGATGAGAGATATTGGACACGCTGTTCATGCTCAAGTTGAGTCAGAGGAGGGGTCTTCTGTCTCTTTGATGTTGCTTGATATGACTTGCTGACCATGAATCCATCCATGTCAGATGAATCTTCATAAGAGGAGTATATGGGTATGGTGTTCCTGATGACCTTCTTCTTCTTTCTGAAGGAGGGATTGGGGGCAGTAGAATGCCTAGAATTCCCTTGGGGTGCAGAGATGGGGGAGACAGTTGTAGGGTCAGAATCCCTGAGAAACCATACAGGTTTAAGGTTCTCTGCAGGTCGTTGTGGAGGAGGTGATTCAGGTGGAGGGGTTTGATGTTCAGATTCAGAGGATGAAGAGGATTTCTGTTGGGGGGAGGGGTTCTGGTGCTGGGGTGAAGATTGAATAGGTGATGCATTCTGTTGAGGAGGGGATGGTGGGGGTGAA